TTTTCCTGTCATGTAGTGTCAAGTCATGATAATGAAATCATAAACATGAAGCTCTAGAGTCTTAGCATTGGTCACTGCCTGTGGCAGTACTCTCTGTACTTGCAGCAAGCATGTCTGCTACACAGCTTTTTGCTCTTATGTTTCGGTGCTGGCTGGTTTTCTCTCAAAGCAGGGTTTTGTAATCTCTCTAGGTAACCACAATTCATTAGAGCTACCTCTTGTTTCAAACTTTCCCAGAGTGTCAGAGCAATGTGGTAGGGGCTTAGTATTTAACCATGCATCGGTGGTGGCACTGAGTCCCCAAATCAACCTTTCTTGTGTCCAGTTTTAAAAGTCTGAGATCTGCAGTCCTCCACACCCTACACACCTTTTGTATCTGATAGTCTGAACAAATCCTTGCCCTACAGCAGACTCATTATTATCAAGAGAACTGGGGGAAAGGAGGTGGAATATGCAGGATAAGGCAAAGCCACAGTAATACAAAACATATGTAAATTAGACTACAAGATACCATAATAAGGATGTAATGGAGGGGGAACGAAAAAGAAAATTAGTCCTATTGTTGCTTCAGTAGCAAAAGCTAGCTTCGGTCTGAAGTGGTAAATCCACCTTTCTTAGGGCGGTGGAAAGGTAATTATACTCCTTCTAAGCACAGGGCATTTCATGCCAAGGCACTGTGAACGTCCTCACATCGATGGCGACTGTGAATCCCCGGCTTTGTGGCCAGCTGAGGGGCGACCATGGGTCATCTGAGGCAGAAGGGCAGGGAGATGCTGGGCTGTTTGGTGCCAGCCTGTCTCTCTCCAAGGGTCAAGGGAGCTCCACCACCGCTCACTGCCTGTCCATGAAAGCTTGGCAAGCAAGTCTGGAAGCTTCCGCCATCTGTGTGAAATCCTTCCAACCATTTAGATTAAACATTGACTTCAGTAAAATGTAGGGCTCCTAACTGACCTGACATAGTCCATATGGAGTAGCTGCCACAGATAGTGACTATCTTGACACTGATTAATCACTTCTAGTTGTGTATTTGTCCCTGGTTACTTGACACAGTTCTTCCCTAATAGCTTTTGAATAGTTCTGGGGTATTCACATGACCTTGGCTTTGGGGAATACCCCATCTGATGACACTCATTACCTAATTCAATGTAGGCTTGGCTGCTTTTCACCAAACTAACTTGGACACTAGCTTTTGGGTTTTTTTCTTTCCCCTGTGTACACCAGTATCTGTGCTTTTCTGCAACAGGAAACACCTTAGCTATGCTGGATTCTCTTTGGTTTAGGTGGCACCGTTTGCAATGGGCTGGGGCTTGGTCTGTGCTGTATAGCATGTAGACACTGTCTTGATTCCACCTCCATGTCCTTACCTGTCACTTACAGTCACAGGCATGACAAGCATTCTGCATTACTGATGCTCCTTGCTTTGAAACTAGCAGCTAAATGATCTGTAACTAGAGTCAATCATTGCTCAGACAGACAGCAGCGAAGCTGTCTAACACCCCAAACTGAATGCAGAGTTTCTCTCTCAATCTGAATGTTGTTCTCTTCTTCAAAGGTATGAGATCCAGCAGCAAAGGCAATAGGTCTTCCAGGCTGATCTTCCATCAAGTGTGAGATTATTACACCCACTTCGTATGGAGAAGCGTCACAAGTGAGAGTTAAAAGCATCAAGGCATTCTAGTAAGGACCTGTTCTGATGATACCAGTTTCTCAGCTCCTTCACCAGCCTTGGTGCAGCGTGCGTGTGGTTCAGCGCTGTCTCTATCCAGTGTCTGCCAGGTCAGTCAGGGGTTGCTGTGTGAGGTGGTGACTCACCAGTTCCGGGAAGCAATGTGTTTGTGGAATTTGCAGCAAAAGGATCTTAAAGCAATTTTCAGATATTCCCCCCCCCCTTTTTCCTTGTGATTTATAGAAATTGTTTTTCCCAGCAGAAAGGCTGGGAAGATTCAACATACTGTTAAATTTTTGAGACATTTCCTTTTGCTTTTCCTATCCACTCAGACAACTTTTCAGACTTGGACAGGTGACTGACTTGCTGAGTATAAGGACTGGCGATGTGTCAGCTGAACCTCAAGGACTTGGTAACTGTATACACATCCCAAGCCTAGACCCCAGCTGCAATGTGACATGATTTAAACTTAATTCACCACAGGTGACTGCTAAGCCCAGTCATATTAGCTGATACTGTGCTAGTTAGGAAGGCAAATATGGCCAGTGCTGCAACCCATCTGAGAGCAATACTGGGTCAGCTGGTGTTGCCTGACAACATGCCTGAGCTTCTCAAGTACTTTGGGAAGTTCTTGAGGTCCTCCCCATCTCTAGCTCCACAAATACGTCATTGTGTAAGCGCCAGCATCTTAGGAATGATCTCTCCCGTCTGATCCATGACTCACAACCAAATAGTTGTTACACATGGTCCTTTCAGTTAAAATAAGACCTGGTTTGTTTAGTCTTGAAATAATTCTTGCCATGCTCCTCAGCCTCCATTTGCAGATAGACTTGGGGAACTGCTTAGGATGACTACTGAGGAAAATATATCCTCTCTTCCAGGTAATAGCTGTTGATCCACATGTGATACTGGGTTAGCTGTAACCTTGAAATTGCCTTAGATACAGACAGCCCTCTGCATTTTCATAGCTATCACCAGTTGTCTCATCCAAGAGTTTAGCTAACTTTTCTTTTCGGCTGGAGTTTACAAATTATTTTCTTTTAATATAAGCAAGGACAAGATGTTTTGTCAGTCCAGCTACACTGTGGCCATCTTATGCTATGTAATACCTTGCTTCAGATCACAGAGGTTGAGTATACGCTGTCTGCTGTTGTGTTACTTATAATAATGTTCAAGAGAACAAAGATTACTTGGGCATGTGTTTTTAGAAACACAGATTTTCTGTAACACCTCCTTTCTAAAAGATCTTTGATGATCCCACCAGTAAATTGCAGCATAGTGAATCACATTTCATTTTAGATGTTATTCTTGTCACTTTAAAGGATTCCAAATAATACTTTTGTTTCTTGTGAACCGAAAGAGGCAATTACATAGACATTATGGCTTTCTACAGTCATTGCACATTGTTGCATGCAAGCTGAAGAATATGAAGTTAACCAGCATTGACTTTCTAAACTGGTGGCTGGGTTTGATTTGCTAGCTTGCATGTTTTCTGCTTGTGCCCCATCCCCTGCAGTTTCTATATGATTTGTCCTTGAGCAAATTACTATGGTTATTGTGAAACTGTCCCTTATGTTAGAAGCAGCACATTCTTTGAATGTCCTTCAAGCCGTACTTTCCACTTGACCCCTGAGCATGGCTGTTGGACCGATTTTGTGATGCTCCCAAACTCTCCAGCATCTTCGGTGAGTCTCCATTGAAATGGTAATTTCTGGAGCATACTTCAGGCTCATCTCAGCTTTAGATAAAAATTAAATGTGGATTGCTTCATTCTGCATATTGAATACTAAAAGATGCACTCATTTGTCCTCTCTGCAGACACATGATGCTCTGCCAATTTCCTTAATCCAGGCACAGAAGCAGTCAGCAATTGTTTCCGCTCACTTTTGATTCCATCTGTAAAAGGAAATACCTGCAATCATGAGAGGCTTTTCAGAACAAGGATTTTGTAGAACTTGCCCAATTTCAACAAACTTTTTTGTCTGCTGGCTTAATGGGCACTATCTGGCTGCACATCAGAGCATCAGTTTTAGTCTCCATTATGCTGCCATATGTTTTTTATTGCAGAGATCATCTGTTATTTTAGGATTTCCCCATCTCTCAGTGGCCCTGTACTGACCTGCCAAAGAAGTCCAATCCGCCTCCCGTCATATTTTAAACTTTTCTTTGTGAGTGGATTGCTCACTGGAATCATACTGCAGCTTATATTTAATATTAATTTTCACAGACTTTCATGAGCAGTCATTGCCTATTCCATCTACTTCTAGACTAGTATCCCACCCCCATCTCATGTTTTTGCAACCTCTCTATCTATGTGGTGTTAATAATACCCAGCAACCCTATGGCTGGATCCCCAGTAACACTTCTTAGTTATCTACAGAAAGACAGGAGTAGATACATGAATGCACTACCATTTATCAGAGTAAATGAAGGCAGGGAGCTTTATTAGAAGGCTCACAGCTGATTTAAATTAATATTGCCAACTGTGAGGTTTTACAAAGCTTCTTCCAGAAACAATAGCTGTGTCTGCACCATAAATTAAGGTCGGTATTGAGATGTACTCACTTTTGTAGCAAGGCATCAAACACAGATTCAGGCGTGACCAGGGCAGATAGCAGCTCTAAGCCCAGCTGGGGTGTCTGTGCCTCTCCTAGCTTGCTGCCCCCAGCAACCCACCCAAGAAAAGGGTGAGGAGGGGCATAAGGTCCTGGGCTCTGACTACTCAATGAATCTCTAGTATTTACTCCTTGTGCCTGGCCATGTGCAGCTTGTTCCTGCAATAATTGTAATACTGAGCTCCAAACAGGTGGATAAAACCTAGATGTATGTTCATAAGAGGTCAGCCATAGGTAAACCTGTTGTTACTTGGCTCAGGAAAACATTTGCCACAGCTGAGTACTTCTCCACTACTTGCCAGTGTGGTGTAGCTGGGAGCATGGCAGGGGTACAAAGGCAGAGTAATTCGCTCTATCCAGTGCATTTGAATTATGGGATGTGAAGTATGACCTTCCAGAAATTGGATCCAGAATTTCCCAAAGTTTCCCTTTTTTTGCCAATTTGACCAGAGCTAATCTGAGGCAATCAAGTGACACACTGATACAATCCATACTTCTCTTTGATTTCTAGTCCAAACTATACATCTCATTACTTCCTTTTTTCTTGTTTTTTAAAAAAGCTTTTTCTTTTTTTTTTTAAAAAAACAATTGCAAGAACAGCAATTCACTCAGAGCATGTCTAAAAACCAGGCAGCTACTGGTTTCACTTCCCTCCTTGGTCTCTGCAACTCTCAGCGACGTGCAGTGAGAAGCAGGAGTGGTGAAACACAGTCCTTGCCATTTCAGAAGGTTTCTCACTCCAGGTCCTTGAGTGATACCCATGCTGCTTTCTCCTGCATGCCCAGCCCCTCTGAAGATGCCCAGGAGAGGATCTCTTGCCCTGTGGACACTTGTGGTGCTGCTGCAACTGGCGCTTGTCCCATCACAGCTGGCAGGCTACCTCCTCAATCCCTGTTTGGAGGTACGTGATCTCTAAATGAGCACAAAATCCTTCTGTTTCTCTGGTGCAACTTTTCCCTCTGCTTAGGAGATTTGTGCATCAAGTCTGTTGTGTGTTAGTTGTCTTACAAAAGCCCATCTTTTTTCCAAGGCTGTTACCAAGGCAATTGAATCGTTTGAAGTAAATGCTGGTCTCAAAAACATCTAAGAACCAGAACCAGCAGCATGAACCATTTTTCTTGTTGGCTTTCTGTACCCCTGAGGTTACTGCAGTACAGTTAATCTAATAGATTATGTTTCCCTTGGAAGAGATCCAAGTCTTGTCTATAATTTCTGCAAAATAAGGTATTTTTGCCTGATTTGTACTGTAGAGTGATTTCACCAGTACCCCAAGTACCTGGCACTAATCAACTGCCTTTTACAAACTTTTGCCGATGATTATTATTTACAGAATAACTTCGTTTAGAACTGCCTGCTTATCTGCAGTGTAACAAAGCTGAGAGCTGATCCTGGACAGAAAATGCATCCTTGTGCGTTTGTTTTGCTGGCTCTCGCAAAGGTTGCTGCCAGTTCATCCATAGCCTCAAGGAACACTGTCCTGTAGTTTTGCACCTGCTTCAACCAGCAAGAAATGTAGCTCTTTCTGAAGAGTAGGACTGGTTCTATTAGAAGTGGGAAAAATGCTTAGGATATATAAGATTATTTCCTAAAACTCAGGGCAGCTCATTTAGAAATTAACTACAAGGTTAGTCATTCTGCTCCTGCTTTCCTGACAGTGTAATTTTCTCACACTTCATAAGAGCAGATGTTGACCATGATTGGATCTGCCCCTCTTACAGGTCAGCCCTAACAGAACTTTCAGATGCATGGGACTGAATGTCTCTGGAGTTCCTGCTGAAGTCCCAAATACCACCCAGAATTTGGATCTCAGTTTCAGCAATCTGAAATCACTGGGGTCAAATTATTTTTCATCAGTCCCTGAACTTCAGCTTCTGGATCTTACAAGGTAATGAGCTGTTTTATGTGGATACTGGTTAACCTTGTTCATCAGCTGGGCCACTGTAGTTGCTTATTTTGGGGTCTGTTGGTCTTGGCTGTTCATTTTTTTTTTTTTGCTTGTGACTTTATCCCTGTGTCTGTCTCTCTGCACATCCCCATGGTCAAGGGATGTACAGCTTTTACTTCAGTTCCGGAGTGCATACTCTCTGCACAGAGCTGGATCTGTCAGTCTGATCTTGTAGGTTGGGATGTGAGAAGGAGAAGGAAGATGTTTTACTTCTCTCTGAACAAGAAAAATGTCAGACTTTTCACTGTTACAAAAACTCTGAAGTGGAACATCTTGGGTGAGCTGTTTTTCTAATCAGTTTAAAAAAATAAAATGAAGGTACATTCATTTTCTAAAAGGCTGTTTTAAAATATCAACATATTCTCTTTTCCCTTCTCACATGCCTGGGGGAGGAGATGGGGGAGGCTTATTAGCAAATTTGAATTGATGTATAATTTCCATTGACTTGAGACAACAGTTTCTCTGGGTAAATTGTTTCACTGAAAAATGTCACTCAGTCCCATCACAGTTACAGCTCCAAAGTGGCTGAGTGGCAGAGCAGGTTTGCTGTAAGGCACTATCTGGAATATAAAACTAATTTTGCTTGAATTCATTGCTGAATGGATTTGGGTCTCAAATTCTGGATTTTCCTATATGAAACCACCTTTAGGTGGCCACCTTCTTTTTCCCCTCTTCCTTTCCTCCTTTAGAGCCAACATAGCCTGGGGTCTGTTCCCTCTCAGATATTATCAGCAAAACAGCTGACACAGTTGTGAGCTTTGCCACTGCTGCATCATGCTGGTGCCAGTGGGACTGCCCAGATGTGGCTGAGGCACAGCCTGAAGGCTGTGAAGGTGCAAGGTGTAAGGGAGTGCTGTATCTGGTTGGCCCTGCCATCAATGATGGTTATTACGATGCTACTTTGGCCTGAACAGAAAGCTAGAATTCTTCTTTCCTACTGCGTGCATGAATTTTTGACCTTCACCGTGGCTCAACATCTCTTGCTTTGCAATTGAACTTCAGATTTAGAGAGGGAGAAGGAAGTGAGAGAAGGTCCTCTGCTGTGGAAGGGCTTCCTTTGCACATTCAGGAGTGCTGGGTCTGCCCAGCACAGTAAAGCCAAACGAACCCCCAGTGTGAGGCTGAACCTGAGAATGTTGCACCAGTGCTTAGTGCTGTAGCATTAGTGAACGTGAAAGGGACAGTGTTTCATGCACATTTATTCTCTTTTCCTGGCCAACAGGTGCCAACTCCATACAATAGAAGATAACTCCTTTAAGGATCTTCATAAACTTTCCACCTTAATTTTAACTGCCAATCCTCTCCAGTACCAGGGGACAGCAGCCTTCTACGGCTTAACATCTCTGAAAAAACTAGTACTGGTGGAAACCAACATAACCTCTCTGACTGACCTACCCATTGGACACTTGCATACCCTGCAGGAGCTGAATCTGGGCCACAACAACATTGTTTCATTGAAGCTTCCCAAGTATTTCACCAACCTGACCTCTCTCAGGCACCTGAGCTTTCTCTCTAACAAGATCACATATATCTCCAAAGGAGACCTCGATGCCCTGAGGGAAGCGAACAGGCTGAATCTCACACTGGTACTTTCCTTGAATAATATAAAATACATACAGCCAGGGTCCTTTGCAAAGATTCACCTTGGTGAGCTGGTTCTAAGGTCCTCTTTTGAGAACTTCAATGTGATGCACACTTCTCTTCAAGGCCTGACTGGTTTACAGGTCACCAGACTAATAGTTGGAGAATTCAGCAACAGTCAGAGACTGGTAGACTTTCAGAGCGGACTCTTGAGTGGACTGTGCCAGGTACAAATGCAAGAGTTTGTCTTAATCTGTTTCAGAGGATTTGAGAATAACACAGACACTCTTTTTAACTGCATAGGCAATGTCTCCAGTATTCGGTTGGTGGACCTCCAACTTGAAGAGGTGTCAGAGGTTCCTATGTTCTCTCAAGTGAAACAGCTGGAATGCAAGAAATGCAAGTTTAAGGAAGTGCCTGCCATGAAGCTGTCTCTTTTCAAGGAGCTGAGAGTGCTTCGTATTACCAAGAGCAAACACCTCAATAGCTTCCAGCAGAAATTTGAGAGTCTGAGTAACCTGGAGGTCATAGATTTGAGTGAGAATCGCCTCACCTTCACTGGCTGCTGTTCCCCTCAGTTTCGCAACTGTCCAAATTTGAAACACTTGAACCTAAGCTTCAATTCTGACATCAGTGTGACTGGAGATTTCACTAATGTAAAGGATTTGTTATATTTGGACCTTCAGCACACAAAGTTGTTCGGTCCTGGCTCCTACCCTGTCTTTCTATCCCTTCAGAAACTCATTTACCTTGATATTTCCTATACCAGAACTCTTGTTAAATCCCAGTGTACATTTTGTGGCTTGAACTCTTTGCAAGTGCTCAAGATGGCAGGCAACTCCTTTGAGAACAATAAATTGGCCAACAACTTCAAAAACCTAAGTCACCTCCACACCTTGGATATTTCAAGTTGCAAATTAGTACAGGTGGATCAAAGTACATTTGATGCCCTCTCTGAACTAAAAGAGCTAAACATCAGCAACAATAAGTTGCTGAGCTTTGATCCTGTAGTCTACAAGCCGCTCCGAGCCCTCACAGCCCTGGATTTTAGCAACAACCAGCTGAGTGTTCTGTTGGAGTCAGCCCTGGAAATCCTGCCTGATAGTCTGGTCCAGTTAGACATCTCTCGAAACCTGTTTGAATGCTCTTGTGTATACTTGAACTTTCTGAAATGGATCAAGGAAAAGCAGGAGCTACTGCAGAACAAGGAGTTGATGATATGCCACACGCCTGCATCCATGAATAGCGTGAGCCTGTCTAGCTTTGATCTGTCGTCCTGCCATCTCAATGCAAGTACAGTGTCATTCTCAGTGATCACGTTGCTTGCTGCAGTGGTGTTCCTTTTCCTGATTTACAGGTACTACTTCCAGCTATACTACTCATTGGTGCTGCTCAGTGGGTGTAAACACTCTGCAGAAAGGGGTGACACCTATGATGCATTTGTTATCCACTCCAGCAAAGACCAAGAATGGGTGATAAAAGAGCTGGTTGAACCCTTAGAAGGAGGAACACCTCCCTTCCAGCTTTGTCTTTACTACAGGGATTTCCTACCAGGGATACCCATTGTCACCAATATCATCCAAGAAGGTTTTCTGAGTAGCAGGAATGTCATCGCAGTCATCTCTACTAACTTCCTGGAAAGTAAGTGGTGTAGCTTTGAGTTTGACATTGCCCAGTCCTGGCAGCTTGTTGAAGGAAAGGCTGGAATCATCATGATTGTACTAGAAGAAGTGAATACGGCCTTGCTGAGGCAGAGGCTGGGGCTGTCCCGATACCTGAAGAGGAACACCTATCTGGAGTGGAAAAACAAGGAAATAAGTAGGCACATCTTCTGGAGGCAGCTGACAGGAGTCCTGCTAGAAGGCAAAAAATGGAATCACGAGGCGGTGAAGCTCATGTGAAGAGAAAGAGAGATCACTTCTCTCCTGTCTCCCATCCTGGCCATGGCTGATGGCTGGTGCTCAGGCGTTGCTTCTTCTGTGGCTGTTCAGAGTTGGAGGAAGTGGATGGAGGCACTGTAAAAGCACTACAGAAATACCTGCCTTGCTGGTGACCCTTTCTCAAAGGAACTTGCAAGCTAAGGAGTGACAACAGCTAGAAGAGCTGCACGTGCCTGAGCTCCATGTTTGTCTGCAGCTGTCAACCAAAGCTGGTCCAGCAATCCACACAGGTCTGGTGGGTTGGTGAACAGACGGACTGCTCTTACTGTCATTTGTCTGCCTCTGAAACTGAACTTGCATTCTGGGGCCATTTACCCAGTGGAACTTCAGGGTCCGTTGCTTTGAGTGGACCCCAGGATCTCCAGGGGAGAGCAAAGGTGCAGGATTCTTGGCTCTAAAAATGGTGGGAAACAGAAACAAGATTTGAATCCTGAAAGTCTTGGGTCTGCCTCCTTAGGCACCATGACTCAGGGGAAAAACCCTACAGAGAGAAATGGGATGCCCTACAGCCATAAACCACCTGGCAGCTACTTAGTGAAGCTGAGCAGTTATGTTGTCAGTGTGGGGGGAGGTTGCCGTTGGTGGGAAATTTCCCCAACATGTTTATTTTGGTTTTCTTTAGACCAAAACCAAATACTGAAACCCCCAAATATTTCCATCACCTGCAACTCTTATTTATATTCAGATTATATAGCATTTGAGAGAGTGGTTTGAGGTTTTCTTGTGGGATCCAAAAATCAGTGCGACCAGAAGAAGCCATAGAAATGCTTAACACCTTTAAAATCAAGGTATTTCTTTGCTCCAACTGCTTCTCATCACCCAATATTTCTGGATATACTATGTGGGACTGACCTATATGAGTAAGATTGAGCCTGAGCAAAATGTTTTGATGTTTACAGCCAGCCAGTTCTAGCATAAGCTTTTCCACTCTCTGCACTAGCCTTACTTCTGTTGGAAGGTGCTGTAGGAGCTTCCAGCCCGTGGGTTGAAATGGACTTCAGATATGTTCAGACCTAGCAATGAGGCTGAGAGTCCCTCTTCCTTCCCCCCCATCAGTTTGTGGCAGCCTCTGGTCCTGGTAGGCATCTCCACATGTGTGGTCAGCCTTTCCCAGGGTTCAGCTGCTAGGTTGAACAGGACGGTCACTGGACAGGAGAGTTCTGCCTTTGTTTCAATAAGAACGTGCCTGACATTTTGCAGGGAGAAGAGATAGAGGAGAAAAGTCTGGGTTAGCTAAACTAAATGTATCCCAGCACTGCCCTGAATAAAGGGAAGGAAAGTCTAAATGCCACTGAATCGTATTACAGAGCACTCCATTGATGTGTCGAATATTGAATAGTGCTGGAGTATTGCTCTCTATTTATGAAAGGCTTTGGTTGGGATTAATCACTGAATTACTCTAGTTTTAAACTTGCAAATCCTTCTATAATCAATGACGTTCTACAGAGGTAAAACAGAAGCAATTGAGTGGTGAATCAGATCTGATATTTATTCAGAAGAAAGGGCCTGATCCATCTCGCTTTTCTAAGCACCAGTCAGTGACATCTCCGTGGAAGCCAGTGATAAGTGAGATCAACATCAGACACTGTTTGAAAAAGAGGGAGAGCCAGTTCTAGGGCTTGCGCTGGCAAAGGCTGAATCACAGTTCCCTCTCTATGTGTGGTGTCAGTAGTATATTGGGATAACACTACCAAAAAACCCCACAGCCCTCTCTACGTTTTTTTGTGACCCATGAGACGAAGCTTTAATAAAACTAAGCCCGATGCTGTGTTCACTTGCCCAGCATGTTTGTTTTGCATCTGCTAAGTACTGTTGCAGCAATTTCCAACGTGCGGTGCGGTGCGTGCTCCTTACCACTGCTGTGATTGATGGGTCCTGAGCGCTGCATCTTGCCAGCAGACCTGCCTCCTCACCCAGGGGCAGGGGCTGCTGGAGCTGGGGAGGGGGTGCACTAAACCAGGGCACAGCTCGAGGTTCCCTGGATTGAAGCCAAAGGAAAGCACGGAGGACAAAGCAAATATTAGCCTGGATTTCAGCAGCTACAAGTTAAATTGGAAAACAAAAGAAGGAAAATTAAATGGGGTGGGAGTTCCTGCTCCTGAATTGAGCAGCACTGAAGCTACATTTCTCCCTCACTCTTTCTCTCTGTGGCTCCTCTACAAAAATTGTGTATATGTATTCCTGGCACAAAGCACAGAGTCCTATGATTCTTAATTGTAATTATAATAATGAGTTTCAGAAAGCCTGCAAGTGGTTCTGGGCATTATAATAAGGGGTTAGGACAGTATTGTTTAAAAAGCGAGTGTTTGTTGAATATCAGAGCAATTTCAGGAGGAGAGCTGGGGTGATGCTGAGAGGAGGCTCCCAGCTGTACAATTTAAAAAGAAACCAGTCACTTGTTCTTCTTTTCCTATTCAGAGTCTCCACAGCAGAGATGGATACGTGAGTTGCCCCAGGCTTTCTTACTGCCCAAGAGAAAGCACAAAAACCATCATAGCTTCTGAAAGTGAGAGTGAGACGATGCAGTGAGACAGAGACTGAAGGCTGGGGTGTTCAGAAAACAAGGGAATTTGGAAGAGGTTCATCCTCTGCAAACCCCACAGTCACTGTCACTCCTGCTTCCCTCCATACATTTAGAGATTTCACTTGGTCTCAGTGGTAGTTGGTACTTGGAAGACACAAGCCGATTTCATTTATTGCTGAAACCTTCAGCAACAGAACTAGGATTTTTTTTATTTTTTTTTCTGCGTGGCACAAGGAGGCTCAGGAGGACAGGCTGGCTGGTGACATGAACACCTCTTGATGGGATCTGGGTGCCAGGTACAGCCATGTGCTGTAAATGTCCATCCATGCAGCCACGGGCTCTGCTGGGTGAGCGGGTCCCAGCCCTCCCCTCCCTGCACAGCCCGAGGGGTCATTCACCTGCCCTGGCAGTGCCCGTCTTCCATACTTTGTGGTTTATGAGTCTAGGGGGGGACGAGACTGTGTGAACAATTATATTTTCGCCATTTACCCAGCAAAGAAGAAGGTGATTTGGTTTTGGAAGACTCAGAACAACTTTCCCCAATACTAGAAATGGGGAAAATATTGTGGTTCAAACAGAAACACACATACATATTTGCCTTTGTTATAGAAAGCAAATTTCCAAAGGAAAACTGAACATTCTCTTCTCTTCTCTCCAAACATGTTGGCATGCATTATTGTTTGAAAGTGTTCACTGTGCAGCAGGTAGCTTTGATATTATTTACTCGTTTGGGTGAATAAATGAGCAGCCAACCAAACACCCATGCAGGTCTGCTTTCATCTCTCCTGTAAATAGCTGAACACGTTCCAGTTATTAAAGCATCTATTTTACCCAGGTCATAAAACCAGATGGAGATGAAGCTCCAAAGGGCTGTTGCATCCAAGCTATTTCATTTCATTTGTAATGGGGATGTGCCCTGGTTTCACTATGTGCTTAATTTGACCCATGCAAAATGCCAGTACAGATGAGGCTCTGGTCTTGCATTGCAGAGGGTGATGTCTCAGAGGCAGGCCATCATGATGTGCTGGCATCATCGCCAAGATGTGGTTTGCAGTGACGGCTCTGAACAGAGCAAGCCCTCATTAGCATGATTGCATTTGTGGTTTCCACACTGTAGCCGAGACATTATGTAAAAGCTGAAAACTAGAGCCATTTGCATTGATGCCCGCCTGGATCTGGCTGGCTGCAGGAACAGCACTGCGTGAATGCTCCCTTGGCCTCCCCAAGTATTAGCACAGACTTTCAGTGTCAGTTAAAAAATCAACAAAACAAGAAAAAGCAGCTGGTTTCTCTGGACCGACTGATACTTGACAGGAACAAGTTGAAACTTTTCTGGAAGAGTGTTTGTCCTTTGGGAAATACTACTTTGTAGGTGGTTTATGTAATTTAATGAGGTAGTGTAGTGAATCTATGGAACAGAAATTGTCATAGCAGGGTTTCTGGTTTGGTATTGCATGGGGTTGTAATCTTGGAACAGATATTTTGCATGGAAACAGTGATTTTTGCAATGTTTTGGAGGGATTGGAAAAAAGGATTTCAAATAAAAGTTAAATTGCTCCACAACATCATTTAAAAAAATGTTGGTTTAGGTTTATGCTGTTGTTTCTCAGAGTACCTTTTCATTTTGAAATTTCTTTCTATTTATATAATCTGACTAGCCTCCCAAGACAAAACAAACATGTAAAAATGTTTCCACCTACCCAAATTAAAAAACACAAATTTTATTTTGTGGGAAAACTCACAATTTTTCATTTTTGTACCATGCTGAAAAGCAGAACTTTTGACAAAACGGAAATTCCACTTCCATGACAGCTCTTACCCTGACCCTCTGAAAGTTAAACCTTCCCCTGGCTGTATCACACATGTAGTTCGGGCAGTAAAAAAACACTGAAGAATCCCCAGAATGAATTTCACTAAGTGCCTTTTGCAAAACATCTTGAGTAGTTGCAGTCAATCAATACGAACTGCCTGGGACTGAGAGCAATTGAACATGGTAGGAAAGAAGCAATTCCTTAACAAGTTGTTCTTTGCCATCGCAGCTCAGGCTGAGAATTGGGATAAATGACAGCAAAGCATGATTTGCAGAAGAAAAGCCCATCTGCCAGTAGCATTAACCTTCCCCAGCTTCAAGGTCATGTAGAGGACAAAGTCAATAATCCGCCAGCCTGGACCTCCCTGGGCTGCTGCGAGCACAGAGATAGAAACATTGCATAGTTGAGGACAGCTCTGTTAAAAACCTTGAAAATCAAGAAAAAGGAATAGAAAGAATAGGAAAGAGATTGGTGCAGGGTCTCAGAAAAGTGGCCACAATTCAACAGCTGGGTGAATCTCAGCTGCTGGAGGTGCCTCGGTCCCAGGGTTTCCAGCACTAACAGCCTAAAGCACCTCCAAGGCAGAAGTTTTGTGATGAGTCTGTAAGTGCTTTACATAATGGTGATAAGAAAATGTTTTGAAATCAGTACCTCTGGGAAGTTGCTTTTAAATCAGGTTTTTGCATATCAGTGCCTATTCAGAGAGCAGCTAAGGCAGCAGTGGTGTGTCTTCCATCACTCCTGAGAAGAGGGACGTGATTCTGCTCTGTTCAGCAAGTCCTGCCGGGGACACCCCAGATTCAGGACCTGTGAGGTTCTCACCCTGGTGCTTCCTTGCTGGGAGAGCCTGGTTCACCCTCTCAAAACATCATCCTGAGGCATCCCGAATGAAAGCGGTGCTTTGCATGTTCCTGTCCATGTCTTCACAGCAAGGGCAGTTCCCGGAGGCTGGCTCACACTGGGCCAGCATTCACTACCTGCATTAGTCCTGTTCCTACCTACGTGGAGGACAGGGACTGAGTCACCATTTAAATAAATTTAAATACAGATGAAACTCTGGCCTTGATGTCGGTTGTGTACGTGCCTTCATGTGTCCATTAGGGCACCCTTAAACTCATTCTGCAATGCTGTCTATGACCTCAGTCTGCAAAAAGTGTGATTTTAGCTATTACATTACTGCCACTGGATGCCCTATCAGAGAAGCATGACATCCCTTAACATTCCCATGCACCGCTTCCCCCAACAGCCTCCCCTTTTAGCAAATGAAAAGTCTGCACCTGAAAGCATGTCTGTATTTTCCAGCTGCCCAAATTACATCTTTGGGCCACTTCAGCTTTAGCAATGGTATTAATATGTCTTCTGTCCTTGCTGTACCCCGCGGCCCACACTCCAGAGCGGGTATTGATTGCTTTAAGACCTGGGTCTGTGTGGGAAGGATGGAAATGAGCATCGT